CAGCTGTGAAGATTTTGGTCTGCTTTACATTGAGTTACATTAAGTAATCTAGCCTCTCAGTCTCACAGCCATATAGTCCATTGGCCTTGGCCTGTATGGGCCAGGAAGACAGCCCACCTTTTGCTCTGTCCCATAGTTCTATAGTTTGGGGCAGCATAAGAAGGTACCTGGAATCTTGGCGGTGCTCCTCAGAGTATCCCTGCTACAGTCTGTGGTCCATCTGAACCATGGTACAGTCTGTGGTCCTTTGCAGCCACCACCACTTCAGCAAGAGATATTGAATTTACTTTTCTAGGGTCCTTGAGGCTTCTCTCTTGCCTTCTAAGATGGCTCATCATTATAACCAGTAGGATGGCAATGAAAACTGACTAGTCCTCTCTATTAATGATATATATGTCCATTTTACACCTTTCCACCTAATAATTTAGTGGGGAGTTAATGAATTGGATAGAAGAGCCATGTTAAGAAATTTCACCCCACCACAGTTTGCACAGAGCAAGAGAATAGGGCATGGTTTAAAATCTGGAAAAATTCAGCAGCTTTTGCCTTTTGATAGTTTTGTTTAATGAAGATTTATATTATTTTGTGACAATAATTTCAGATTTGCCCTCATAGTACATTGGTAATTTTTAAAACTTGACTTGTTGGAACCTATGTATCATAGTGCTATAAAAATAAGTATTAAAGAGATAGCACATTTGCGAACCTTTCCTTATTAAATATGTATGCTGAGCAGATAATCAGAGAATCTGGCTATCTGAAGAAGAACTTAGAAGAAGACTTTCTACCAACCCGTGATATGCAGCTGACATACCCTGGCTTGCTGAAAGTGACAGGGAAGCTCTTTCTGATGAAGCACTTTCAATGCTGACTACAACTACTCTGTTGTAAAGAAATGCAAATATTCACAACTGTACTAATAGGTAATATCATGATAAATAGAGGAAAGACTGAAGTTGAGAAGGATTTTATCTTGTTTGTGTCCTCAACCAATATCATGGAAGAAGCAGTTTAGAAACCCAATGGTGCATTTCACTGGGCAGATCTGTTGCAAAAGACCTCTTTAAAGTGTTGAAAAACAAGGATGGTAATTTGAGGACTAATGCACACCTGACCCAAGCCATTGAATTTCCAGTCACCTCATAGGCATCAGAAAGTTAGGCATTAAATAAAGAAGACTGGAGTAGAATAAATATATTTGAATTATAGTGCCAATGAAGAATATTTAAAACACGTTGGGCTTATAAAAGAACAAACAAGTCTGTCTTACAAGAAGTACAGCCATAATGCTCCTTAGAAGGAAGGATGGTGAGACATTTCATGTGTCTTGGACGTGTCAGAAATTATAGCACTTTCCTTATTTATGTATCTTTTCATGAAGAAATCAGTGCTGTTCAAGCTATAGTTCAATTTATTGATGTTAAACTAATGTCTGCTCTGTAATGTTTCAGAGAAAGAATTTCCCTTGATTTCTCACTTCCACTTACATGGTCTTGGACACATTACTTTAGCTCTCTCTGCTTCTGTAAAGTTTATTTGTAAAATGAGAGCAGTAGTCCTTACTCATCGAGCTATTGCAAGAATTACATGAGCCAATGTACTAGATTAATGTTGATGGCATTCTCAATAAATGAAAGCTGTTGTTGTAGTTATATTTCTCAGCATTGTTCCAAGACACATACTAAGAATTCAGTAAATATTTCTAGAAAAGCAATAAATGGATTCCAACAAATTAAATTGAATTGTGATGAGACGCTTCCCAACGTCCTGCCTCATGTGATTATCCTATCTCCACTGCCCTTTCTCAAGAGCACTAGTTTTTTCTATAGGTAAAGGTTTTCATTATCTCAGTACCCTATATCTTCTTACTCTTTACCCTATTGGCATTCAGTTGATTCTGGCTCAGAGTGACTCTGTATGGCTGACTAAACTGCCCCATAGGGTTTTCAAGGCTGCACAACTTTGTGGAAGCCGACGGCCTGGTCTTCCAAGCGGTAGGTAGGTTTACACTGCTGACCTTTCTGTTAGCGCTCAAGTGTTTCACCACTGCACCAACGTGGACTCCGTTCTCTTAATTTTACATTATTGCAATTTTATTATACTTGCCATTTTATGTGAGCATCCTCAAATTATTTAAGAAGGAAAGGAAAAAGTACAATGTTGAACTCTCGTTTCTCTTAATATAAGGGGGATTATTAGTAGTAGGATACAAACTATGTGCTTTGAGGTTTTGTCTCCTATGGTCAGGCCAAACATTATAGATGGCTGTCTTTGTGATACATGGAGCCTGTAAAATTAAATAACTGTCAGAGCTTTTTTAGCTAGTTGGTACCTTTTTTAATACTAGAAATTGATACAGAACTCTTTTCTACTATTTTGTAGTAAGGCATGTAGTGAGCTACACACAAGTGAAAACCTGATGGATAGTGGATTAAACAAGTGAAGATTTGTTTATCTTAGCTAACTAGCTACCTGGAGGTGGGCAGTTGGTTTTATTTTAATGGCTCAGTCTTGTCACAGCGTCAGCAGTCTTTTGTGAGGTTTCACAGGTCTTTGACGTCTGGTTATTTGAGGGCTACAGTGGCTTCTAGGTTCGCAAATGTGCTATCTCTTTAATACTTATTTTTATAGCACTATGATACATAGGTTCCAACAAGTCAAGTTTTAAAAATTACCAATGTACTATGAGGGCAAATCAGAAATTATTGTCACAAAATAATATAAATCTTCATTAAACAAAACTATCAAAAGGCAAAAGCTGCTGAATCTCTACATATCCTTCATGCTACCTTCTTTCTAACACACCCCTGGCGACTTCTGTGCTTTGGGACTTATAGGAAAGGGACAGTTTGGGCATCCTTAAGAAACTCAAATTTTGTTCCTTTTAAATGTTCTTTTTGCTTGGGGGACAAAAAGAAGCCTGAAAGGGAAATACCATGGCTGTAGAGTGCATAGGGTGAGGTCTGCTAACAAAATTCTCAGAGTACAGTCTTCTGAAGAAGGAGCAGACACATTGTAGTGGTAGAGGAGAAACAAACAAAACAAAACACAATAAAAAACATGCTCAGCACAACTTTCCTGGCCTTTTTTCACCAATGCAATTTTCAATTTTCTTAAAACTTCTTCCTAATAAGCTCCCATGATTGTCCTAGTCTTTCAAAAGAGATCACTCCCCAAAAGAGTCTCTATAACCTTCTGAGCTGACCTCCCTACTGTGGATTTACTGGCCCAGCAGATCCTGTTCGATGCCATTGGTTTCCATTGGACCATCTTTTATTTTAAGATGCACTAATGAGAAAGGAGCCGTGGTGTCAGAGTGGTTTTACATTGGGCTGCTAACTGGAAGGTTAGCAGTTCAACACCATCAGCTGCTCTGAAGGAAACAGACAAGGCTTTCTACTCACTTGTAAAGAGTTACAGTTTTGAAAACTCACAGGGTCAGTTCTACCCTGTCCTAGAGGACTGCTGGGAATTGACATCGACGCTATGGCAACGAGTTGTTTTTTTATGAGACTAAAACAAGTTCAGAAATAGCAAAGGGAGTAATGATTCCCTGAGGATACAGGAAGACAAGGAGGAAAGGGTGAACTGATAGCAGTGATGACTGTAGAACCCCACTCGTGGGGAGCTAATAACAGAATTGTAGGTGAATGACTATATTGGATGGGGTAAGCTATGGCTATATATACATATATATACACACACACATATATATACATACACACATGTATGTATTTATATTGTATATACATATATAGCTAGATCCTTATTTATATTATATATTTATATTATATTCTCTATTATATATATAGGTATATACATATGTATGTATTTATATTGTATATACATATATAGCTAGATCTTTATTTATATTATATATTTTTATTATATTCTCTATTTTATATATATATATATATATATCCATAGCTTACCCCATTCAATATAGCCATTTATATATAATAGAATACTACTACTACTACTACTAACAATAATAATACATAACAATAACAAGAAAGGGGAGGGAGGGGATAAAGGAGAGCCAATATGAAAGAGTTCAAGAAGGAATAAAAGTTTTGAAACTGATTGTAGTAACGATTGTACAATTATACTTGATCTATTTAAATTATGGAATATTATGACACTTATAAGAGTTCCCAATAAAATGATGAATTAAAAAAACAACCAGCATATTAATACATTACTGAGAGAATTTGTTGGGGCCATCTATTGATCTCAGAGACTCGATTAAATGTGTTTTGTTTGCATGTATAAATTGGAACTCCAGCAGTACTTTCTAACTTACCTTTGAAGATACTACACTATGACTCACGATTTTTCCTATGTGTCTGCTACAATAAGCAATATGCTAAAAAGAGGTTAGACTTTCCCCATTATCCAACCTATGACTGTTTCAAATCATAACAGCATTCGTAGACACAATATTGACACAACTTTTAACATTAGTTTTATTCATTTACTTAAAGATATTGGCCCTGGAAATTATTAACAAAATGTATTTCTCAACAGGATAAAAACTCATTCTACATTAACTGAAAATGCGCTTTCCAATAAATTACAATTTGATGGTAGGATCATATCAAGGTAATTTAGATTTTATAAAACTTTAGTCCTGTTATTATAAAAATGTCTTCTCATCAGAATCTTAGACGTGATGTTTAAAAAAGACCCAGTACCAATATGGATTCGAAGCTCTTTAACGATTACGTTTTATATAAGCTGCTTTATTTAATTTCATTTTAATGGTTCAAATTAATAGCAGATATGCCAACAAAAGCCCAACTCACTGCCATAAAGTCAGGTCTGACTCATGATGACCCTTCATGCAGTAAGTTAATGAGGGAATCAATTCTCAAATGTCTCTGTATTCTTAAGAACTTTCTACACTATGCTATATGCTACTTTAATGTTCTTTGTGTACTATCACCATTAGAATATACTGTTTTTCTTTTTGTTAACACATTTAGTCTTTGACACATAAACTTGTACATGGCAATGGAAGACAATAGTTGTATAGAGTGCCTTTTTATAAGCCAAGATTGTTTTGTTTTCTTTCTCAAGAGTTTTAAGTACTTCTAAGTGGCTCTGAAGAGGTGTTTCCTATCGTCATTGTAATTCATCAAGTCAACATCAATTATCTAAAAATGTTGTTCTAAATTTACATTTTATTTAAATGGCTCAAGCGTAACTAATTTTATTATTATCATTTCTACTTGAAAAAGACATTTAATAAATAAATGTATGTCTAATGAGCAACGAACACTGTACTGATTCATATTCCTGTCAGTATAAGAAATGTATTTCCTTCCATTCACATCTAAGTGAATACAGCACTGTCGCCAGGTGTGCTGTGTTTCCCCCAGCTTCACTACAATCCTTTCTCAATGCTGTACATGTGAAGGAGCTAGTTAGTCCTCTCTGGGAGGTGTGAGTTTAGTTTACTGTTATTTCACTTGAAAATCATGCAGTCACTTGAAATTCTTTGTTACCTTTTCTCTCTCTCTCTCCTAGGAATGGACGCGACACTTGTAGAGAGCTCGTGGGGTTCTTTTTCCCTCATGACGGGTCCCTGACTGTGTATGAGTATCGGCAATTTGGGAAAAATAGGTATTCCTTAAAATACGTGACTAACGTTCTTAAGACAAGTGCTTTGGAGAGAAGCTGAATAACTTTGCCTTTTGAAATTGAACTTCTAGGACAAATGTGCTTCCTTTTATTCAAAAAAACGTTTATAGTCATCAGAGTGGACGAAGAAAAGGAAATCAATACCAACTGGGTGACTTTTATATCGTAAGTCACGTGTGTATCTGTGCCTTCACCCTGTTCTCAGAGCAGGTGTTAGAATTTGGGAGCATCCTATGAGGGTAGAGGAAAAGGATTTCTAGATCCCAATTATTTCCTGAGCTGGGGCATTTATGCAAGGTTTTCCCTATCAGGCCCAGATCCTGTAGAGTCTGAATCTAAGGGTATATTTTATTTTCCTGTTTTTCCCTACAATGCCACAAGATAGGTAATCTGTATGATCATTTGTCTCCTAGTACTTTAAAAAGCTCTCCAAGCCTGTCCCATTGAGTAAGTTGAACTGGTTATGTGAAAGTGAACCAAAAATGAGGTCTCCTCATAAGAAATGGGGGAGAGCTTATCTATCTTCTCCTCTTTGCAATTGCCTTGATTTTCCTTATAAATATAAAACTATGCGTTTTGATAGAAGAACTAGTTTTGTATACTTTTCAATTCACACTGATTTTTTCCACTTGTTTAGTGGCTTTAATATACGTATATGCATGTAGGACAGCTGTTTTTCTGCGGAGATGAGGGAAATTTGTGAAGTAATGACCTCAAACTTTGAAGCCAACCCTAATGTTCCATATCCCAACTTTAAGGATGTTGCCTCGATTTACATTGAATCTCAACTTTGGACATTGGAGTAACCGTTTGACTTCTGGCCTTAGTATAAGAAATAATTTAACAGACCATTCAAAAGCAAATGGTGTTGAAAAATAACAGGCAATCAATCATTAGTGTGCTTCCCAACATTCCCCCACTCATCTTCCACAGAAGTGAAAATACTGCGGAGCACAGGCAGCGAGAGGAGGACTCCTCAGGGCCGCGCTCCCCCCAGAGAGCACCTGCAGCCACTTTCCGGGAACCAACTCACCTGCGACCCCGGGCTGACAAGCAGGACCTCAGTGCCTCCCGCTATTTTAGTTGAAAATATGTGATTCTCATGTGATAATGTCTATCTATTTGATTCACAACAATTAAAACAATGACTTTAAGCCTATATGAAGGGTTATTTGTAAGGATTTTGTTATTAAAGCATTGATTCTTTAACTAAGTCAAAGTAGACTTCTTTACATTTATGAGGTTTGTCACCAAACGACCAGGTGTAAGAAGTCAGGGCTGTATCACCCTTTTCAGTTCATGCGACATCTTTCCATGGACTTAAAGGGTCTATTCCTATATTTTGTGGTGTGATAAATTAGTACTGTGTCCTTTCTTTGTGTAATTGCTATTTTAAAATCTGAGTTTCTCATTATTTTTCATATATATTGTTTCATATACAAGACTGTTGAATCAAACCAATATTCCCAATTAGAGAGACATTTGGAGATTATTTTCTTATAGGATCGACTGATAGTTGTGTGATTATTGAATATTATCCTTAAATATACTTTTTACCATGATAAAAGATTCTATGTTGCTTATAATCAAGATTGAACATTTAAATTTCACAATAATGCTTTATTATTTACATAGTTCTAGGTTTAAATAAGTTCTCTTTCAATTTCTTTAGGGTGCAAATTTGACATTTTTGAGTTCTGATCATCCCAGCCTACCAGAAAGCATAAAAGCGAGCACACTGCTTACACTTCGCATTACAAATATTGATCAGATAGCTTTGAATTCTCTCAAGTAAGTCCAACATCAATTTGCCATTTTGAAAGGAAGTAAAAGAACTATTATTAGCTTAAAATGAGACTTGAACACAATACATCTTGACTTTCACTAAGGCTAGTGCTTTTTAAACTAAAGCATACAATGTGTGTATATTTTATATATGTTGTATTCAAAAAATCTTTACATGTGGGAACAATTGTAATTAATTTAATATTAAGTTGTGCTCCATTTTATGTGAATTAAAGGTGCTTTGTTCATGTGTCTTTGCTATAGCACTTATACCATGCATTACCAATGTACGAAATTTTATAAGATGAAATATTTATACAATATTAAAATAAAATTTCCCACATTATTTAGGGTGGTACTTTCTTTTTAAATGTTAAAAAGAATCTTGGTCCCACACAGTGATAGGTTTAAGCAATTCCTCTGTCAATTTCTTTAGGGTGAAAATTTGACATTTTTGATTGATTATATTCATAATAAAAATACTATGAATAAAAAAATACACTAAGATAACTTTGACTTTTAATCATACTTGGTGACACATATTAGTGGAAATTGCAATGGCTCTTGTACCAAATGTACAATTATCCCATTGCCTATGACTGTTAGGGACAGAGGAGAACTGCCCGACAGCGCTGCCAAGTTTTAAACTCTTTACAAAAACAGATGATCGCATCTTTCTCCTCCAGTTTGTAGTTGCGTGTTAAGCCATTACCAGTGTGCATTTGAAATGACTGAAGACGCAAAGGATTTACATGTAGCTTTTGGGAGAGTTTAAGGACTTTAGATCCTGTAGCACATTTAATCTATTAACTGGGTATTAAAGGGCAGGCAGAGGTGGGATTTGATTAACCCCAAGTATTTCTCCCAATTGTTCTATATTTTTTTGAGTGTGGACCAAGAGGGGTTTTCAGTTTCCAAAATTGTGTAACATCATATATTTTTATTGTTCTAAATGTATCCATGGCAGAACTGACTCTGAGGATCATGTGTATGATGTAACCAGCCAAGAAGCCAGGGATAGGCTACTCTTCAAGGCCGTTCAAGGTATGAATTAATGCTACATTCTCAGGTAGTTTTCACCTTCAACCACTTTCTTTGTAAGCAATAAAGCAATATTTCTGGATAGTTCTTAATCTTGTAACACTTGTTTTATTTTTTCTATTTTCTCATTTTTCTTAAATGAAAACTATCTTTTGTACATTTTGATGGATTTTTTTCTTACTTTGAGAATTCTAACTGACTAGTACTATGTGGATTATGAATTTAAGAATTTTAGCAGTTACTGGAAAATACGAGTGTTACACTTTAATTGGATAAAAAATAAAACTGATTTTTGTGTCAAATAAGCCTGGCTTTAAGCATTATTCGACGATATTCTGAAGGCCTTTTTGGTGGTCTAGGGTAGAAGAAAAAACTGCCAGACAGGGAGACCGATTTATGTTCTGAGTTTACTTTCTATGAAACTCCAACTGTACACTCAAGATAATAATCTCTATTCTATTAACTTTCTAAAGTTTTATTAGGAATGAAATGAAATATGTGTAGTCTTTGGAACATCTAAGATGTTTTGGTATTACTACTTAGCATATAGTATAGCTGTCTAGATCGAACCTTTCCTACTTAACAAACAAATAGCAACAACAACAAAATAAATGCTGGTTTTCCTTAAAATATGGGGATTTATTTATTTATTGCCTAATAAGAAGAGTAGAATTTATAGTTGCTGTCCTTTTAAAGTAATCTCCCTTAAAAATTGAGTAATTCATTAGATTATGTAAAAACATCCAAGAGTTTATTCATGTTTTACTTAGTGTTTTTACTTATTTCCTAGAACATTATTATCTCTGAGCATACTGAATATATGCATTAATGAATAATATTAAATTATACCTACTGTATGTGCTAAACACTATACTAGACCCTGGGGATTCAGTACTGAGCATTGTTCTATCAGTTATTTACATTTATTGTATATTTGCTATATTCCAGGTTTAGTTCTAACTATTGAGCCAGGTATTTAAATAATATTGTATAACTATTTTTTATTTTACAAATGATACTGTGTCTTTACAAAAGATACTGACTAGCTCAAGGTCATAAAATTAATTACACTAAAGCTGAAAAGAAAAGCCCTGCAATGTGTCCCTACAGTTCAAGCATGTAACGCTTACAGTATACCGAGTGCCCCTGTGTTGCTTCTGACTCATACTGACCCTATAGAGGAGAAGTGCTTTGTAGGGCTGCTGGGCTGTACACCTTCGTGAGAGGAGACAGTCGTCCCTCTCTCCCAAGGAGCACTTGGTAATTTCAACTGTTAACAGCCCAACACATAACACCCATGCCATCAGAGCTCCTTCACTATACCACCAGGTGGTTCAAAATAGACCCTTAATTGGAGCTCACAGTCTAGAACGGAGAAAGTCCTTTGTCATAGACCTAATCAAAGAAATTAATGGATAATTAGAAAAAAATGAAAATCCAGAATTATCACTTAAAGATGCAAAAGGAGTCATCGTATAAAGACTGGAAGGAGATTTGAAAGTTTTCTGGGACAGGTACCTGAAATCCAACAGAGTGTGGAAACTATTCAACAATATCATTAAAATCAGATGCAAATAAAATGTGCTAAATATAATACAGAATTAGTGAATTGACCAGGAGCTGCCAGAAATTCAGAAGAGAAGATGGAATGAGGGATCTCATTGCTGACATCTGATGGAGCTTGGCTGAAAGCAGACAATACTAGAAAGTTGTTTACTTGTATTTAACTGGGCATGGTATTTGACTGTGCATCATCACAAACTGTGGATAGCGTTACAAGAATGGGAATTCCAGAACATTTAGTTTTGCACACATGGAACCTGCACATACACCAAGAGGTAGTCAGTGGAATAGAACCAGGGGATATCACATATTTCTAAATCAGGAAAGGTGTGCTTCGGAGTTGTATCCTTTCATCATACGTATGCTCAGTCTGAATGCTGAGTACATATCCCAGACCTTAGACTGTATCAAGGAGGACACTGCATTAGAACTGGAGGAAGGCTTACTAACAATCCCCAATGTGTGAAGGACTGGACTTTGCTTGGTCACTCGGGAAAGCAACTCAGTGTAAAGAAAACAAAATTCCTTACCCCTGGATCAGTGGACAGCATCATGGTAAATGAAGAAAACTTTGAAGTCAAGGATTTTATTTTACTTGGATTCACAATCAAAGCTCATGCACACAGCAGTCACGAAATAAAGGCCATGTTGCTGCAAATGTCCTCTTGAAAGTGTAAGAGGAAAGATGCCGCTTTGAGGTGTTTCTGACCCAGCCCATTCTGCTTTTAGTTGCCTCGTGTGTGTATGAAAGCTGGACAAGGAATAAGGAAGGCTGCAGAATAGTGGACGCATGTGCATTCTGGCATTGGTGAGGAGTATGCTAACGGTCACGGGTTGCCTCTCGTGGAGCGAGTACAGCCAGAATGGTCCTTGGAAGCAGCGTACATGCTTGTGAACAGGGGAGACCAGTCTCGGGAGAAGGACATCTTGCCTAGTCAAGGAGAAGATCAGAGAAAAAGAAGAAGATCCCAGCAATATGAAGTGACACTCTGGCTGCCATGTGGGCGCGAACAGAGTGGCATTGGTGAGGATGACGTGGGACCGGGCAGTGTTCCGTTCCGTTGTACACAAGATGGATGAGAGTCTCAGTGGACTTAGAGGCACTGGAAGAGAAGAACACTTTATCATGGTGAATACAAGAGGTGACACTTTGGGGGCTGTTGTATCTGATGGCATTGTGTTTGCTCTTTCAAAATCCATTGTGGATACGTCTATTCTGACTCACAGTGACTGGAGGGCAGAGAACTGCCCCATAAAGTTTCCAACCAAGATTGCTAACCTGAGCGAAGCGGACTGCCACGTTTTCTTCACCTGTAGAATGGCTTGTGGGTTGAAACCAGCAACCTTTGGGTTAACAGTGAAGTGCTTAACTACTGTGCCCCACGGATCCTTCTGTCCTCTAATTGTATTGTACCCAGTAAGTGCTTTCGTCAAGTGACCTGTATTTCCTCAAGTCAAGATGATACAAAAGGCGTTCAGTAGTCACCGAGGTAAAAACAGAGCACCAGTGGCCTGAGAAAATAAGTCCTTCAAGGGTGAGTTCAAATGTGTAAGTAGAGGTTAGCACTCCAAAGTCTTTCTGCTGTGTCAAGCACAATGTGAAAATTTTATTTTTTTTAAGGAGATTTGAAATGATAACTTTTGAGGGACTTGTCATGTATCACTTTTGTAGTTCAGTTGGGGACAACAAAGAATAAGGAAATAGGTGGACAATGTAAGGATGGCTAGATGAAGGGGCCTGGATAATTAAAAAGTATGATTTTATTTCTAACACATAGGTTATTTTCACACCGAGAAAGTAAACAAGTCCTTTTTATTTCCCCCCACATTTAAACTATAGCATTTTCAACCACACAGTGGTGCTATCGCCCTGGTATTCTTATACAAAGCTTTATATACAATTCCCTGAAATAAAGGCATTCCAATTGTCAAGCTCTTTCACCAATCTTGTAAGTTGCTTGGTCAGTTCTCCCCCGGCCCCCACCCCCGCACCCCAGTGTGACCGACTTTAAGTTCCTTAGAGGAGCGACACCTGCAGTTTGATACATTTGTGCCTAGGAACATTCCGTTTTCATCTGTCTCTCTTTGGTCAACAGCTGTAGTGAAAGCAAAACTGCATAAAAGAGCTGTTGGCATCATGGCTGGCCTGGGAAAATACTTTAAACAATTGGACAAGGAAGGAAATGGACTTTTAGAGAAGGCAGATTTCAAGCTCGCTCTACAACTATTTAACTTAGACCTGTCAGAAAAGGTATGTGCGACAGGTAATTCTCTGCAGTAAGGTACTTTTCTGAGGTGGCGTCCTTCACCTTTTCTACTGAAATCTTACTAGTTCCTTGGTCATCACCGGCTTCATTCTGTTTTCACTGCTAAGTCACCAGACAACAGTTTTATTCATTTTTAAAATGTCACCATTCATTCCTCCATCAAATATTTAGTAAGATTCTGATAACTCGGTTTTGTGCTTGTATTTTTGATATCACTGTTCTCTCAAACTCTTTGTAATCCATGGAGATAAATATATAAATGGTGATAAAAACACTCTATGTGTTAAATAACGGATGCGTTGGGAACCCACGGGAGAAGTGTCTACTTCTAAGCCAGGTGACGAGGGAAGGAGAGGACCGTCGGTGGAAGGATGCCTGGAGGAGGCTATATGCAAGGTGACTGCTGAAGGACGAGCAAGAGGGTAGCAGACAAGGAAGGAGGAGGGGCATATATCGGAAGATGAGGAGAGGTGCTGGTGAAGGCACAGAGGGGCGAGCATAGAGGCTGCTCCAGGAGCTGCCAATGGTTCACTCTTCCATAGCTGATTTCCATTTTCCACGGCACGCTATTTCTCAGTGATGAGCAATCTTCCACTAAATCTGTCTCCTACTTCAGGCCACCCTGGGAAAGCTACCCTTACACTCCTGTGTAAAGATTCACTCCTTCCTGCCCCCTGGTGTTCCCTACACAATTGTTCCATTTTATTTGTGCACCACTTCCACAGGTATTGTCTGGATCTGTGTGCCTAGACTATAAGTCTCCTTAGGGTGGCAACTGCATGCTTCTGGTTGCCGGCTTTATCCTCAGTTTGTCAAACTAAGTCTGGGATATGAAAAATATCAGACCCACTGCTGTGGGCTGGATTCTGACTTATAGCGATCTCCTTGGACAGAATGGAACATCCCACCGGGTTTCCAAGGCTCTCCATCTTGCAGAAGCAGACTATTGGAGCTTTCCCTTACAGAGCGGTTGACCTTTCGGTTAGCAGCCAAATGCTGTCATCACTGCAGCACCAAGGCAGGCAGCACGTGCTAAATAAACAGTGCATGGACCGATCTGAATACATGAATAGATGGGTGAATGAATATGAATATATAGACAGAAGGAAGGTAAGAAGGGAAGGAGATAAGGAGGAAGAAAGAAAGATAAATTAGACTGGAAGGATCAGCTGGGTTCTAAATTCAGATTTTATTCTAAAAGCATTGAATTTAGAAAACATCTACCCCAGATAAGGGACTATCTTGTATTGTTCTTTCCCTGGCCAAATGATCTTGTCACAAGATGCAAGGAAGGTATTTTGTAGACAGAATTCTGGAAAAAATAAAAGTTCTAGCCTTACTATTTGAACTATGTGATTTTAGACAGATCTCTTAAGTCTTATGATTCATAGGCTTTTCCTACCAAACCCTACCAAATAATAACTATAATTATATAACGCATCATATACCATATGTTAATAATTAATATTATATATTAATTAATACATTACATCGTTGTTATATTATATTATTATATTAAATATTATACTATGTCGATTTTTATTATATTATAAATTATTATATGTTATATATTATATAATACATTATAAATCACTATCTTATATATTAGTTGATAATTAATATATCAATGGCACAATTAACATATTATACATAGTTATTATAAATAATAACTATAATTATAACTATATTTCCTACCAAATAATAATGAGAATGGTTTGAGACTCAAGTGAAAAAAAAGCTAAAATGGAATATACCTTCTGAACTCTAAAATTTTATGCAGTGTGAAGTAGCCTGTTTCTATTGTGATTTAACTGTCTTTTGTGTCTTCCATCATGTTCAAACTTGTCGCCCTCATAATGTCAAACACTAGGATCATCTAGTTTCACCTCTTTATTTTTAGGATAAAGGACCTCCAAACTATAACAACAAGAAACCAGAAAGCATTCGTGCCTTTGTCCACAATCACACAGTTAGCAATGGAGATAAACTAGAATTTCTCTATTGCCCGAAACTTGGTGAACATTGTATTAAAAAGTACATTTGCTAAAGAAGTTAGTGGTAAAGTCAACAAATTGGCATAAGGAGTTTACTCAACCAAACATCTTCTAGTATAAATTATGGAGCAGTATTAGAGCCATTCACATCTTCTATGTACAAAGAGTAACAGAAAGAAAATTAGTAGTCATAACACTGAGGGCAATCCCGAACCTGAAATAACCTTTAAATTGTCACGAACACAATCAAAGAGTGACAAGCATATTTTTATAAAAAAGGAATTTCATAAATTTAAAAAATAAGTGTATGATTTATTGTCACTCCTAAATTGTTCTTAACTTTTAGAACTGTTTCCTAAGCATTGCTTTAAATAGTTCTCTTGGTGCATTTGAAAAATAATTGCGTTTAAATGTGACTTCTTGGAATTTCCTTTTTAATTGGGCTACTTTGTTACACTGTCAAGGGTTACAAAAGGTGTAGCCACTGTGATGATTTTGTCAAGAACATATATAATTTAATGACCATATAGAACCTAGTATTACTTATCACAAATATTAAAGCAAACTGAATTTTGATGTAGGCTACATTTAACTACTGACACTTAATCGTCATATAAAATTGACAACAATCTGTTCACAAAATATTACAAGGCAAAAAACAAAAGCCAGGCTCACTGTAATTGACTCAATTCTGACTCACAGTTTCCCTATCGGACAGTGAAGAACTGCTCCTGTGGGTTTCCGGAATTGTAACTCTTTAAGGCAGTAGCAAGCCACCTCTTTCTCCCACAAAGAAGGCGGTGGGTTTGAGCTGTTGCCTTTGAGGTTATCAGCCCAATGTGTAACTCATGATGCTACCAAGGTTCCTTATAAGGGAAAGCACAGTAAAGTATTTTAAACTGTAATATTCACCTCTGTTTTCTGCAGAAGACTTGTGTGGTAGTTACATAATCTGTTGTCAATTTGCCATATATAAAATAAATATTTTATTAGAAATATGCATTTAATTGTTACACATTTATACTGTTCATCAAGAAAACATATTTCAAAACTGAGAAAGCTCTGTCAACATTGACCCAAATAACTGGTGCATCCAAAACTACCATAGTAATTTCATATAACTGAGCATATTGGGAATGATTTTTATTGTGACCATATATAATTATTTTTAGGATTTTGAGTCCTTGTGGCTAATTCTGAATGCCAATGGCAGTGACAAGATGGATTATGGAGAATTCAAACGTGCCATTATTGGTGAAATGAATGAATATAGGAAATCATTTGTTCGAAAGGTAACTTTGCTAAGTAATCTTTTAAATGGCTACTTTTAGTAGATAGTTAAATTCATTATTTAAAAACTCTAGTGAATTACTATTTAAAATGTTTAAATATTTTTACCTGTATGTGTATGTATGCTCAGTTTAGTTAACACACACTCATACACTCATACTCTCTATATGGTATAGAGTAACTTACATACATGCTGTAGGAAAATGTTGTAACACAAAGGCTGAAATTATAAATAAGCATAGCTTCAGAAATTTATTAGCCATACCGATGCATGATTAAATATCCCAAATCTTATTTTCCTGTCTTAAAGGCTTGGCGTGAGGCTTGAGGGATGCTAACATGTAAAATTGTTAGATTTAGGGCTGTCCAAGTGTCAGTGCTCAATTCCTGTAATTTTCGGACGGTGGTTGCTGGTTCCCTCGGAGCCCATTTCAACTGAAACTGACCCCTGTGTCACAGAAGAGCTCTGCCCGTAGGGTGTCCTCACCCGTGATCTCCACAGATATGGGTCACTGGGTCTTTCTCCTACAGGCCACTGGGTGGGTTCAAACGACCAACCTTTTGAATCACCAAGATAAATAAAGCTCCCAAACAAAGCAAAAACCCACTCACTGCCAAGGAGTCATATCTGACTCAACGTGACCCTTCAGGACGAGTAATCACCTTCGGTGAGTTTCCCAGACTATAGCTGCTGGCAAAGGTAGCCTCCTCTTTCCCCATGCACTGGCTGCAGGTTTCCAGCTGCTGCACTGGTGGTTAGCAGTCGTCCCCATGTGTAATCTACCAGGACTCTTCTGAAAAATAGTATAAATAATTGTATCAGATATGAATCTCAAAGAGAAAAATCTAATTGCCTGTATTTTTACTGGCCAAGAAATCACAATAAGAACTTGAAAGTAAACAAGTCCACCACATTACATTTATAAATTTATATGTGCCTTGATCTCACATCTAGGTTAGTTTCTGATGGATGCCTTATGAAATACCACAAAGTGAGGCAAGGGGGGCCTTGAAAGACAACCATTTATTTTCTTACAGATCTAGAGACGAGAAGTCCCAATCGGCATTTCCCCGTGCTGATTCCTCCGGAGGGCTTTGAGAGAGGACCAGATCCCTGCTTCTCTTCCATCCTTCAGTGCTTGCAGGCAGACACTCCTCCCTGTTCCTTTGTTCTCCTAGATGGTCCCCACAGAGCACCTTCGCCCTGTGTCTGACTCTCTCTTTTCACCGCTGAAGGTCCAGAGTGTGAGGCCACAGGCTAGCCGTTTCCAGAGAACAGAGGGTTGTCTTCAAGCCTGGGAGTCAAATGGAATTTCCTTGCTGGGACTCGAACTCATTTGTTTACCATTCTGTTCCTCCTACCTGTGGAAACTCCCTGCCATGGGGCTGATTCTGACCCATAACGACCCATAGGACAGGGTAGAACTGTCCGTTTCTGAGACGACACATGGTGACAGCAGGAGGCTTCATCGCTTTTCCACGGGGCGCCAGTGCTTTCAAAGTGCTGACCAATGCATAACCCACGCCACTGCAGGGGTTCCTGCTTTCCCTCCCCTTTTCCTTATTTTTGGAAAGGGAGTGTCCATTGTAAGCCCCTTTCCATGTTGGGGATTTGGAAGCAGATAACTTAGATCTTAGATTTCACAAGTTCGTAGCTGGAGGGGAATTTTGACCCAGATTGATCTTAGCCAGAGTCTTATCTTTACCTGATTTAGATGGTTTCTGTTATTTAAAGTTACTCACTGTGAGGGATTTTTCAAAAACAGCCCTCGGAACGAAGACAGGGCTTGCTCTGCTACCTCCTATAAAAAAAGAGTAGAACCCGGGTGTTACCTCCTTCAGAAATCTTGCTGTTCAGACAAGAGAATAAAAAAAGAGCTATGAGGTTCCAAAGTTCTGGGAAGATGGTGCCATGATTAAACAACCACGCTTCGAGCAGACTCTTCTGTAAATGTGATGCTGGATAGGTTGTATCTAAGAACCTACTCCTCTGCCCAATAGGATAGTTCATAAAACGCATGCATTCAATTAGAGGAGCAATCAAACAACAACAAGCAGTTTGTTACAAAGAGTAATGTTAAAATTCAGGAGATAAAGTAAAAAAAGCAACAGTTTGTTTTTTAAAGCATAAAATGGGATGCTATGGGATACTTTGCAGATTCATTTTAGCTCTGGCAGTCTTGTGTTGCCAATTTTATCAGTCTCATATAGACCCTAGAGCTGGAAGTTACCTAAAGGGTCATTTCCCCAAACTCTTCAGTTTACAGAGGTGGTAAGCCAGGGCAACGGAACTTCGCTAAGTACTATTTCAAGGTCAGGATGCTATGGAGTGGTGGAACTCATACGTCAGTGCTATTTTCCTGCTATCTTACTCCAGTCCCTGTTCTTTCGTACTCACCATGCTTTCCTTACGTTGATAACCTTTAGATTATCTTGTAGAAAAACTCTACTGGAGAATTTCTAGCAGAAATAATCTACTGAAAATGGGAAATTAAATTCTCATGTCTAATGAATAATATCATAGAAAAAATAACATTTCTCTAACTAGGCATTTATGAACCTGGATTTCAACAAAACTGGCAGTGTGTCTATAACAGACATAAGAAAATGCTACTGTGCAAGGAAGCACCCTCAAGTAATGGCAGGTAAT